GCGGGGGCCCCCCGGGGGGCCCCCGCGCCCAGGTGCCGCCCGTACCAGATGTTGTACTCGTTCTGGCCCTCCACGTGGCACGCCCGCTCCGCCTCCGCCGCCGCGGCTTGCCGCCGCGCCGGACGCTGCAGCCACTGCTGCACCAGCTCCCGCTTGCTGTCCACCTCGGCCGGCGCCTCCGGCGACCCGCCCCCGCACTCCGAACGCGCCCACAGCGCCACCCGCCGGCCGTACTCCCAGCAAAAGTCCGACAGCGTCGGCACGCACGCCCAGCACCCGCCAGCAGCCCCAGCAGCGCCTGCTGCTGCTGCTGCGCCGGGAGCACCGGCAGCGGCGGCGGCAGCGGCGGCAGCGGAGGACGAGGAAGGCGAGGAGGGGGCGGGGGGGGCCTCCTCCAGTCCCTCGCTGCGAGCGGGAGAGGCCACGGTGGAGGCGCTCGGCAGCTGGTCTGTGAAGGAGGCAGCTGCCACGGCGACAGAACCCTCCGGGCACACGCACGGGGCCTCCGGCGCGCTGCCCACGCACTTCCCCTCCTCCATCCTCGATGTGCTGCAGCAGCCACTCCTCGCTGCAGCAGCAGCACAGCACCGCAGCACCGCAGCGCCGCGGCAGCAGGCGAACGCCTGCACCGGAAGACCCGCGAAAGCCACGCCCTGCGGGCGCCTCTGTGGGACCTCCTGCGCTTTTTCTGACACTGTCCGCCACAAATTCAACGGGAATTCCAAACTTTAAAGCTTTCGCTGCTGATCTGCACCCGTACGAAGTCGTGGAGCACCTGACACAGGATCTGATGGGACGAACACTGCGCCGCCCGCGCAAACGGTGGCGCTGATCACTCTACGGAGCTTGGGACTTCCGCAGAAAGTCCGGAATTCCTGAAATACTTCGCAATTGCGCAAAATTAAGCGTAAATACCACCCAAATTGACTTCTGCTATCCCTCAGCCTCGCAAGGCAACGACTCTAGCAGCTGGGGCTGGTTGAGACTGCCTCCGCCGCGCCGTAATGCATTGCAAGGAAAGTCTACTTCAACTGCATGCAACTTCGAGACGGCTTCATTGTAAAATCCATACTGCATAAAACTAATTAGCGGAGGCATAGATTCTACCCTTAGGCTCCTCGTAAGCATGGGGCGCTCCTTGGGCAGTGTAGAAGCTGGAGGTTGAATTGTGATGCGGCGAGAGTACTTCACAGAGGCGAGCCAGAATGAGTAGTGCTTCTGCAAAGTTGGAAATTTACTTTTAGTTTCCAATACATTTTAATTTAGTGTCTTCTCTCCAGCGCTACCCATTTTTCTCTAAGGTGCCCTGTACTTCCCTGGCTTTGTTTGCCAGCAGCGTTTACCTAGGCAGTCCAATAGAATACGAAAGTTCTCCTAGGAAGCATCAATTGCAGTCTGATCGTCTATATGATGTAAATGAGCAACAGTAGACAAAGTATCTCAGTTGTGAGGTAGACTAGCCTAGCCCCTGCGCGACATGCTGCAGGGCAAGGATTTGGTGCTGGCAGCAACACTATACTGAACAGAGCTTTCACACGCTGAGGGGTCAGGGATACACAACATGCGGTTATCTTTGATGCATAACAGTGTTCCCAGCATTTTTGAGCCAGCTGGATCGTTATAGTCAAACCCTTTCGGTAATTGTACACGCATTAGAAGCACGGAGGGTAACGGGCAGCTGAGAGTCGAAGTTGCAGAAAAAACGAGCAGTCATTTTCGACAGAGACGAGACAATTCTTTCAAACTGCCTGAAGCACATGGACAGACGCATTTCACAGCTCGATGTTTGATGGAAGAGGCCGTGGCTGATTGTACTTCAGAGAAGGTTGCTGCTGCCAATGAAATGGAATATATGGGCCAAAGCCAACAGCAAGGCACTTGAAAGCGGAAGCACTACTGGAGCATTCCCAATTTTTCGTGCATATGGGGTATTTAGAAACGGGGGCACCCTTTAAACAATATCTGATAGAGAGCCGTGAGCCCTTAAGGGGCTCAACGGTGAACTGCTAGTTCAAAATAGAGAACTACAAAAGTTATATGAAAGATTGGGAAAGAGTCAAGTTTAGATGACACTCTGTTTTGTTAAGCATGCATGCAGGCAATTACTGCGTGCTTAAGGTAAGCTAGATAAGCGGCTAATTTTGCAATACAGAACAACGTTGTCCTTCATGTTGGGCAATACTAAGCGTCTTTCTTTCACCCACTTGATAAGTAAAATATAAGCTATTCTGCAGTGGAATGCCCACTAACAGAGGATTCAAGAAACATTTTGCCAGAGATTAGAGCACAGCAAAGTGTGGAGCCCTTCAAGCTGAGTGAAACCCATCTTCATGTAAAGTTTATGTTCGTGCAGACAGAGTTACACACTGTGCATAACTGACATGGCTGCAGCCACCACTTTAGAGAGTTTGTAAATCACAAGTGGGAAGCGCTGTAAGGCGCTGGTTATTCAACTAGTCTTATTACTTCAAGTACTGAAAAGCAGCTAAGTTTGGGGGAGTGGCGGCTCCTTCGGGGATCAGTTTTGCAGCGCTTTCTGAAGAGGAGCTGCCTATTGATCGAGTCGTGATAGCACCAGCGGCATCCTGCAGACATAAATGGTTTTCCAGGGGCCTTGTATTGGCTTTTTGCACTTTTCAAAGGCTGAAAAAGAGCCACAGAACTGCGCAGCCTAGCAGTACCCCGGATGCCAAGTGCATAGAACATGAGCCTTGCAAAGTGAATGCCCAAACCATTCAGACTAAGTTCGACAAGGCACTTGCGAATTCAGCGAAGTCTGTTTTACAACCAAATGATAACTAACTAAAGTAATTGTATTTCGTTGTTTGATTCCTGTGGCTGCACAAATGCGGTCGGTATCTTGCGAGCCATTCATATTTTTCCTCACTGGACTCTCACCACGCTGCTCTGCCAAAAGTACCCAGCCGTATACATGAAAAAAAGCGAAGCGTGTCCACAAATGAGAACAAAATGCTTTGCCTCAGCCTAGAAAAGTTGAATCGATCAGATATACGAAAAGTACTAGAGTCAACTGCAAGCTTGCTCCGCAAGAAAGTTGTTCTAGTTGTAGGGGCATTTTTGTGGCAGGCCGGCAAGTACTGCGCCGAAATAAGCAGCTAAGTACTTAAGTATTTCATCAAGAACCTACAGAAGTGCCCGACGCGCTTGTTCTCTCGTGTAACTTTTCAATCAGTGCATATTGAAGCGCAATATTGGGTCACTTCGATCCCTCAAGAAGTGCTAGACCTTGGAGGCACTTAATCAAATGCAAGACCCTACCCATTTCTACGAGGCTTCTTGTGTTGTGCATAGACGTCTTCACCCATGCAATATCCGCTGCCAGGCGAAAAGTCCTACGCAGCAAAACTATTTGGTAACAGTAGTTCGACGGCCTTTACATTGAAGAAGCTAACTAAGTGTTCACGAAAAGTGTCGAATGCCTCAGTGAGGATATTCTGCATCTCTGTTGTTTGTGGCGATATATCAAAAGGAGTATATTCTAGCTTGGCGCCAGGCCGCGGCGCCTCCCCTTCGTTTCCTTAACTTAGTCTAGCGGGACAATTAGGCTGGGCTTTTTGGCTGCTTCTTTGTGCGCCATAGACTAACATAAAGGAACACAATTTTGTTTCTCACAACAACCTAGAACGACATCAGTGTTCAAGGTAAGTAGATCCTGCCTGAGACCACGCACATCCAGCTGCACATTAAGATGGTTCGAATTTAAAGAAGCCTGCTTGACGACTTTCTTAGTCTAAACCTTTGTTTTGGGTCTCTATTGTAACTTCTGTCACTTAAGATGTGCGTGTACAAGGGTGGCTACCTGCCTCTACCAAATTTGACAGCTTTCTTGGCAGAAAGCCACAGACCTGCACTGCGAGCGTCCTGGGTCGTGCCGCTCTTGGGGGGTTGTGTTGCTATAAGCTGCCCTTCATACATGCGCAAATCCCTCTTTGTGGGGACAAGGGTTCTTGACTTTTTAGTTTTGTTTGATGTGCGCTGCTGTCGGCAAGGGTGTGGTGTGGAATAGCCCACACAATACCAAATAGCATCTAGGTAGCATATGCTAGCCGCCTCAAGTAGCACAGGCAGACTCAGCACTCAGATGGAACAAACATTTGCTTAAGGAGCTACGGGAACACCAGAAGGAACTCAGGTAGAAATTACCTCTGTTCGCAACCCCGGCGTGTGCAGAGCTATGGGCTTTTCAATGCGAGTGACATATGGAACTATATGCGTGTGAATGTCGCATAATGCCGCCACTATGTTCATATGGGGTAAAAATAGGGGGACTTCGTGAATGTAATCCGCTTTTTCCATAGGTTTTGCCGGTCCTCGCCTTCTATTCATATTCGCGGCACCTCACCGTGCCGAACAAATATGTTTGGGTGATTTTATCTTCCCTGCTACGTAATAGAAGCCTTCAATGTTCATGATTCATTTAAAGGGACAACAAAATTTCGTTGGAGCACGCAGTAGCAATAACTTCTGTCACACAAGACCAATTGTGAAGCTTTCAGTATCACAATCCTCGAACGGTTATGAAACGGTGATCTTTCCATTTTCGCAATATTTCCTTCCTCCTTTTTATGCTCATTTTTATTTTTTTATTCGTGCTGGAGCTTCAAATTAAGTCTGCTCTGTTTTGCCCGCCGTAACTCACTGATCAATATCAATGTTTTCTGAAACGAAGGGAAGTTCTGGGATTCGGAATTGAAAAGGAGCGGGACTGCATGAAATAAGCTCACTTTCAGCTAGCTGATTTAAGAAATGATTCTTTTGACGTAAATTATAGCTTACACATCAGCGATAAGTGTTGAAAGAATTTCACAGTAGATTTGTAGAAGCGCCTCGCTGGCAGCAGTGGTCGTCCCGCAAGGTCATCAAGAGGCCTCCTAAGTTTTGCTGGATCTCACACCAAAAAGTAAGAAAGAAAATACGGAAAATCACAATTGTTTTGATGAAAATGGGGGACTAGATCCTGCCAGACTTCGCGGAATTGGAAAGTATGCCGGGGCTGGAGCAGGCGCTGGAGACCAAGGACATGATCGCTCTGGAGTGCCCTTTGCACGGGCATTTTTCACCCCTGTAATCAGCGGAATCGATGGTTTTCCTCGCTATATGAGTAAGCTTGATAGCTGAGACTGTCTATTCTTGAATCGTTCTTTCGCTCGTGCCCAGGTTCCCATTCGCATTGTTGCTGGCGGCTCGTCTCCTGGACCTGTTCCCTGATGCTCGCCAGCAATGTCAAGTTACCGTGTGTACAAGCCAAGTTCCCGCATGCAGGCAGAAGAGTGATATTTCAGGAAATAATTCAAATGGAAGGACGCTGAACCCCATCTAGATCCATTTTTTGGGGGGTGCTAGCGCGCCACCCCATTTGATGGCTGTGTGCCTCACGCGAACCAAAAGGCGCTGGGGCTTTGAAGGACGCAAACCATAATGGGATCTTCACACTCTACAAAGTTGGCTGGCCCCATAGAAGATCAGGTTATTGCCTGTGACTTTACAGACGATGATACCTCGCAAGATTTGAGTAGCT